ACCTGTGTGGGTCCTCTTGTGAATCTTGAGGTTTTCGGAGCGGGCAAAGATCTTGCCGCAGCCCGGGAAGGGGCAGGGGAAGGGTTTTTCCCCCGTGTGCACCCGAATGTGGTTGACCAGTTTGTATTTCGCTTTGAAGGACTTCCCTTCCCGGGGACACTCGTCCCAGTAACAGATGTGGTTGTTCTGCTCCGGCCCCCCGACGTGTTCCATGGTGACGTGGGTCACCAGTTCGTGCATGGTGCTAAAAGTCCTGTCGCAGCTTTTTTTGGGTCGGCTGAGCTGATTCTCATCGAGCCACTTGCAGGACAACTCTTGCTTGATGGGCTGCCTCATGTAGCGAAAGAAAGCCCCCGGGCCGTGGTGGTGATGATGATGATGGTGATGGTGGTGGGCTGCAGCCACGTTCATACCCATATTCACGTTCATGGGGTTGTAATTATGGAACTGGGCGCCGCCGTAAGGGTCCGTGCGGGGGCTGGAGACGGCCCGGTAAGGATCCGGTCGCCCGAAAAGATCCCCTCGTAGCCCCAGGTGCATCTGCCCGTTGTCCACATGCCCGTTGGGGGACGTGTGGTTGGGGCTTTGCTCGTGGAGCCCCGGGAAGAGGAGATAACCCGGCGGGGTATCCGGGATGCCGCCGGGCCCGTGCAAAGCACCGGGAGAACCGCCGAAAAGCCCGTGTTGCGCCGTACCGGAGGCGGCGTCGGCGATACCGGAGCCCCGGTTCCGAAAGAGAAAATCGCGGGTGGAGTTAAAAGCGGTCGCCCCGCCGTAGGAAGGCACCTGGCCGGCGTGGTGATGGTGATGATGGTGGTGGTGCCCCAAGGCGCTGGCGTAACCCGGGGCTTGCGGCGTAAAAGCCGAGCTTTGCCCGGCGGCGAGGTCGTGGGGGGCGGCGTTCAGCTTGAAAGCGGCGGCGGCGTGTGAGGAGTCCCCGAAAGGGCCCAGCCCCATCCCGGCAGCGGCGGCGGCGGCATCGCGACCCGGCATCTCGTGGTGCCGGGGGGCAGCGAACCCCCCCACCCCCAGCGCCGGGAACTGCGGCCCTCCGTCCAGCAGCATCGTCATGGGCGCGGGGGGGGGGGCCGTCGGTGCGGCCTGTCCCCCTCCCCACCCCCTCAACACACCC